ATGCTGAGACACTGATCATTAGGAGCCTGCAGGATTTAATGATGCCACTGAGTTTGCTGTGGTCTGTCCCCTACTTTTAGGTAGTTGCCTATTTTTTTTTTCTTACCAAAAAGCCCCTGAGTTTCTAGTTGATTTTTGAGAGCTCAGCTAATTGATCTAAAACCTTTTGGCTTTCGTTTAATAAAGATTTTAAAGATATCTGAAATTCTTCAATGATAGTACCAACAATAAAATGAAAAATATATGGAAAGAATTTCCTTTGCTTAACATATAGAAATATGGAAAGTGTGGTATGCATAGGTACACCTAAATATAATTATGTATTACTATAGATCTTCTGAAGTTCACTTAGTACATACCCCTATGTGTGATTTAATCTTTAGTACAAACTATAGAACAGGTGTTCTGTGAAGGCATCTGAGGTTTGTTAGAGAATCTTTTGAAAGAAATACAAGTCCAAGAAGCACACCAGATAGATCAGAGAAAAAAAGAATGTAGCTGTTTAAAGCAAAGTTGGATTAAAGATCAGGGAAGGAACAATTCAAACAATAAATTACCATGAATTTTATGTTGATGTGAAGTTTATTTTACTGAATTCAACTTAGAGAAATTGTAGAGGCCATCCTTTGGAGGAGTACTTTACTTCAGGACAATAAAGATAGATGCATGTCAAAGCTGAATAAAAATACATTCATAAGGTGCATTTGCAATATTTTGGGTTAAAAATTTATATATTTCCTTCAGCTAAATATTCATAACTTACTTTGTGTTAATTTATTACATTGAAAATCGGTGCCATCATCTGGCAGAATGTAATATGGCTAACAAATATGTGCTTATGGATACTCCTTTTTTGCTAAGTGGTCTTGTGCATTTAGTAAGTCAAAGAGCATATATATATTTTTTTTTATGCTGTATACAGTAAAAAGTAACTAATTAAAAAAAAAAAAAAAGCTTTATCTGTTACTAATCTTTATCTATTATTTTCTTAAAGCATATCCTATATTGTTTGGTGTAAATCTATAAATAATAAGTGCAATGTCATGTGTTTTCCAAAATACAAGCTTTTATTGGTATAACTTTTTTCTCTAATTGTACCATGTCATCAGGTCGCAATTTGGAAATATTTTATACAGTTATGTTAGATTGAAATTCATAAATACAGCAGCTGGACATGTGTGTTTATGTAGAAACTGCCCTCCCTACCTTAGAACCATCAATCTTCTCCCGCCTATCTGTCAGGGTCATGGCAGCATCTCCAGCAGCCTATGGGGGTAAGGCAGGCTGCACCGTGTAAAGGTCAGCAGTCTATGGCAGGGCAACGCAGAAACACACAACCACACACACACACTCACACCTAAGGACAACTTAGTCATCCTAATGATCCTGTTTCTGGAATGTGGAAGGAATCCACACATGCACAGGAACAACATGCAAACTCCATGCAGAAGACCCCTTGGACAGGAATAGAACCCAGGACCATTGTTTATCGTTCGTAAACATTATGCATTGTTTATACTGAAATGGTGCAATGCATTTATATCTAATTTTGTATTTTCTCAAGAGTGAATTCTGTTTCCAATAAACCATGTTAAAAAAAATTAAAAAGTTTAATTTCAGCGAAAAATATAGGAATCCACATAGACCTACATATATAACATCACACAACTTAGTCAGTTAGAAGGTAGATCTAAATTTTTATTCTATTTGCCAATAAGATTATGTTTAAAATACACAGCTCAGTGCAAAATACCGAAAATAAAATGTAACATGTTCACATCTGTTTTGCTTCATGACTGCCACATGGACAGTTTTGTTGTAATGAGCTGAACCCACCACAAGATGGAACTATGTTGTAACAAAACCAGTAAGAATTCGTTTGAATCCCATCACAAAAAGTAAATAAAACAAAATATCAAACAGTTAATAATAAAAAATAACAATAAAAAGTGCATTGTGTACAGAATCTGACCAGAATCAACCTTAGAAATGTTGAAATTAGCATTCATTCATCACACAACTAGGATCTGTTGGGGGACCCATCCTGGATGGATTGTAAACAAAAACAAATTAAAACTGATCAGCTCTGAACAGAGCTGGGTAGAGTACCCAAAAACTGTACTTAAGTAAGAGTTTTGTTATTAATTTAATTTCGTTAAAAGGCTAACCAAGTAAGTAACTAATTTACTTGCTACCCATGATCAAAACAACTTGTTTTATATTTTATAACGCTATGTCAAATTGAATCAAACATCAAGTTATATAGATATTCTGCTACTTCAAAGAATAAGATAAAAATATATAACAATAAAATATTCAGTTGTGATGAACACTCTTAAAAATCCTTTTTTTGAGTTCTAAAACTTAGTAATCTAAAAACTAAAAATCAATAGAATTAGAAAAGTATTTGGAAAAGTAAATGAAAATGTACTGCTTACTATATTTTCACTCCAAACTCTAAATGACACAGCAGACTAAGCAGATGGGAAATAATATTAAACCAATAATCCTTGAGTACAAAAAAAGAAGAGACCGTGTCTCTCAGTGATGAATATTTAATCAAAACAACTTTGTTTTTATAAAGTGAAAATACTTAAAATGGATGGAGCAGCCTGAACTTTTACTCAAAAAGTGGTATGATGCTCTATCGTAGTTTTACTCAAGTAAATGTAAAAACATACAAAGCTGTATTATACTACTAAAAGTACTTTTTTCCCCCCAAGTTACTTTAGTAGACTGACTAAATGTAACTAGATACTACCCACCTCTGTTTCTGATGTAAACATGTATTTAATTGAAAAGTTCACAAAGTAAAGATTGTGTTAAAAAACATATCATGTAATGTTCCAAAAATATGTAACATAATTGTGTAGCAAACAGAAAGAGCAGAAAAACAAAAATGATTGAATTCCGTTAATATAAATTTTAATTCAAAAATATAACTTTAATATACTGTGTTAGGGCAATACCCTTAAAAATGTATATATTAGCAAATAGGCTAATTTTCATTTATTTCAGGGAACACACACAAAAAAATGGAACATTTAAATATAGTGTAGCTGCAGAGTAACATAAAGACACACCTCTTCTGAAATGCATTTCCAGCATAACATCCACTTTTTGTTATTTTTTGTAAATATACTGATTTTCTTGTCTTTCTATGTTAATAAATTGCATTTGATTTATTTCTTTGGATGACCTTAAATTCCTTGAAAGGTGCCTTGAAATCAGAATTAATATTATTATCATTATTGAATTCTTGTTTCTAATTAATTTGGATGGCTCATAAGAACTACTGCTTATACATAGTCTACATGCTATCTAATGGCCATGTTATGGCATACTCAATCTTGAGAAAGCTGCTGATTGGCAGAAATCCAGTAGACCTAGACTGACAAGGAGGATAAATCCCCAAACCATAATTTCTCATGAATCTGGATGTTTACAGAGACCTGGAGCCAAACCAAAGATAGTGATGAGAAGTTTAAGGAAATTAAATAATACATGTCAATGAGTGAATGACTGTTATTCTAACGTACCCCACCGGTTTTTAAACCAAATCTATATTTTTTCTAGTTTGATTATAAATAAAATTAATAAACTCAACACACCACAAAATGGAGCTGTGTTGCAACAAACAGCACGAATTCTTTTGAATCCCAGCACAAAAAGTAAATAATAAAAAAAAAAAAACAATAATTTGTAGTGTTGATTTCTGAGAATTGTTGTTTTTAGATTTTTTCCATTGCCGTTGACTCACCACCCTTGTTTGTTAGATGATAACAAAACAGCAGGATATCACGTCCTGTAGCCTAAAACACAAAGCTCACTGTGTTTTCAATTCAATTCTTTTGAAGCAGGAAAGAACATATATATTTTTAGCATGTTCATATAAAATTGTAGATGTGTAGAAGAATACTGGTTTATCTCACTTTCCAGAGTGAGATAAACCAGAACATGCACATATAAAGGCCCATTTCCATGACCAAGTGGCTGGAATAGTGTACAGGATCATCTGTACAGAGTATGGGCTGGAAACCCCAAGGTCAAAGTGGGAAACACCTCCAAAGGTGGTAGAGAATGATCAAGCCAAGATCCTGTGGGACTTCCAGATACAGACGGACCGAATGGTAATGGCAAACCAACCAGACATTGTGGTGGTGGACAAAAAGCAAAGGAAAGCCATTGCGGTTGACATATCAATACAAAGTGACTGCAACATCAGGAAAAAGGAACATGAGAAACTACCAAAAGAAGAGCTGGATAAAACCTGGAAGGTCAAGGCATCATTTGTACCCGTGGTCATTGTGGCCCTTGGGGCAGTGACCCCCACACTGGAGAAGTGGTTACAGCAGATCTCTGGAAATACATCAGACATCTCGGTCCAGAAGGGTGCAGTTCTAGGAACAGCAAAGATACTGTGCAGAACCCTCAAGCTCCCAGGCCTCTGGTAAAACAAATAATGCAACCGTTTTTGGCATTTACTTAACCATATTTGGTTACTTAACAAAATTGTTTCGTGTTAGCAGGGTAGAACATAAAACAATTGTGTTAAAGTAACTAAATATGCCAAAAACGGTTGCATAATCTTTTTCGGTGTGGAGGAAAAAGGGT